AGGCGGATCTCTGTGAGTTCGAGGCCAGCCTAGTCTACAAGAGCTAGTTCCAGGACAGCCCCCAAAGTCAGAGAGAAACCCTGTCTCAACCCCCCCCCCAAAAAAACCCAGAATAAAAATAAATGAATCTTTTTAAAAAAATGGTTTTGGATTATATTTGTTTATCTAAGTTTTAATTTTGTGCTGGGGATAAGATGGGCAACATAGGCAGACTTGGCACGGGGCAGGTGTGGAAGTCAGAGGACAATTTGGAGAAGTTGGTTCTCTCCTTTACACCACATGGATCCTGGAGAATGAACTCAGATTAGCAGCCTTGGCATCAAGGGCCCTTCCCTGCCAAGTCATTTCACTGGCTCCATGATTTTCTAGATGAGATGGCATGAGAAGGAATATGATGTTAGGCATGGGTAGAGCAATACATCAGTCTGAGATTTCCAGTTCCCGAGTGTCTTGTCTTTCCAGTCAGTTCTACAAGTGAATGTCAGAAATAGCCAGTGGCTTTGCTTCTGGTCTCTATTAGTTATTCGTCTTGTTGATGTGACAAAATACTTGACAACAGTACCTTAAGGAAGGAAGGGTTTATTTCAGTTTACAGTTACAGGGGACACAATCCATCGTGGAGGGAAAGGCATGGCAGCAGGTATGAGAGGCAGCTGGTCACATTGTATTCGGAGGTAGGAAGCAGAGTGTTGCACGCTCATGCTTAGATAGCTTTCCCCAGTCCATGCAGTGGTCCTGCGCACACTCAAAGTGAGTCTTTCCCTCTCAGTCAAACTTCTCTGGAAATACCCACACTGACATACCCAAAGGTGTATTTCCACGGTGATTGTAAGTTTGTTTGTCTTTGAGGCAAGGTCTCACTATGTTGCTCTGGCTGGCCTGGAACTTACTTTTTAGACCAGGATGGCTTTGAGCTTGCAGAGGCATACCTTCCTCTTCCATCATGAGTCTCAATTCTGCCAAACTGATGGCCAGTATTAACCATCATAGTGTCTTAGGGAAAAGATTGTTGCTTGGGTTCAAAAGATAGTCTATGAATATCTGTGGCAACTGAGAGGCTGTTTGGTTAAAGGATGTATTTTCCCTGTAAGATGTTACCTTCTGAATTTCTATACTATCCACAAGTGCCTCAGAATGCCATAACATAACATAACATAACATAACATAACATAGCACTTCATAGAATTCCTCTCTAAAAATAAAGCTATGGAACATATTTGAGAAGGAAATGAGACAAAACATGGAAGCAGGTATGAAATAAAAGAAACAGCAACAGAATTTTCCATCTCATATCACATTAGAGTGATTCAGAAGTTAAATGTCTTTTGGGTCACTGGAAGTGGCTCAGCAGGTGAAGGCACCTGCCACAAAGACCAACTACCTGAGTTCAGGTGGAGGAAGGAAAGAACTGACTCTATCAAGTTGTCCTCTGATCTTTACTCACACACCATAGCACTCTCTCTGTGTGTGTGTGTGTGTGTGTGTGTGTGTGTGTGTGTGTGTAAATAAAGGAATGTAACAATAAGTCTTAAAAACCTAAATGTATTTTAAAAAATGTAATATTGAGGGCCGAAGAGCTCGGCGGTTGAGAGCACTGGCTGCTCTTCCAGAAGACCAGGGTTTGATTATTCCCAGTATCCACTTGGCAGTTCACAACCATCTGTAATGCCAGTCTCAGAGAATATTGCGCCCTCTTCTGGCCTCAAGGGCACTGCACACACATGGTGCAAAGACAGACATGCAGGAAAACCAGCCATACACATAAAATATTTTTAATTAAACATGATTCTAATCACTAGAAGAAAACAATATTTCCTCAGCACTTACTGTATGGCAGGTGCTATGGAAAGTTATTTGAATGTATTATTTGTGTTAATCCTTCCAAAGCTCTATAAGATAACATTACTGTGGGCCGTTCTGTTTTACAGACAAGGAAAGAGGCCGAGTGGTTACTCAGTTCTAGATTACACAGACATTAGTAGAAGACCTGGGTTTGCAAGGCAGGATAGTGTGATGACCATGTTTACCATGGGATACTCTGAGGCAGCACATTTTAGTTATATTTAAACAAGATTGGGAGGGAGAAAAGTGTATGTCTGCTGTTGCATAAGGCTAATCTCAGTAGCCTGGGATGGCGGGCATTCATTTATACACCTCAGCTTTGGTTTACCAAGATTCATTGCTGTTCCTGCAGAAGGAATCTTTGCTTCCTTTCAGTCTCTTATGTTCTTGGGATCCCGAGGCAAGCAGTTAGTTCCCCAACATGGTCCCATCAGACCGAATCCTTGGTTTCATTAGATTTTCCAGCCTACGTGTAAAGCTTTCGAGTCTTGGGTTGAAACAGATGCCCCTGTGAACTAAGGTAAAGCTGCAGGTGCAAATCAAGACTGTTAGTGAGGCTGAAGAGAAATGCACCTACATCACTGAGCTTGTGTTAAGATTTGCTGGTCCGTCCTCACCACTTTTTACTTCTTCTAGTTCCATATCCATCAATAGCTATTGGTTAGTGATCACTTTCAGCTGAGCCTGGCAGGCTCAATCCACTAATGGCAGAGCCGAGAGGGCAGTGGGATCTTCTACACTGAGCCATAATCCCAGCCACTTAGACGGGGAAATTGTTTTTCAGGGTTTTACACTGCCATTTCTGTTCACCCTTTAATGAATGCCTTCTGTCCATAAGTGAAGCAGAGATGGAAAAAGGGGTGAATAAGTGCTAACATAAATTGCAGTAGGTCAACCACAAATACAGGCTTTCAAAAAAAGTTCTTCCCTATTTCTATGTTTTTAGTGTGGGTTAAGGTGCTTGCTGATGCCTAAAGTACTTCCTGAGTTTGATTAGTATGCCCGATGCATCAAAAATTGCCTTTGCAAACCTTTATTCTGTAATCCATGCTTGAGAGTGCAAGGTCCTTTTCAAAACCAGATACAGATCAGGCGATAATGTGCGCTTCTCACCATTATATGTCTTTTACTGAATCACCAGTCATATGCTAGGTAATGGATATTAAAATTGAAACAGGCAGGCTCTAAAAAGCTATAGTTGACCTTTCCTTTTAGTTTGGGGGCACATAGTTTCTTTTTCAGTATGAGTCATTGCTACAGGAGAAAACTGCAAATAATAGAATATACTTTCCCTGTACATAGTGTGTTTGTTTAAGAAGCTACATGCGGCTTTGACATTTACACTCCAGTTCTTTTCCACTCTCCTGAATCATGGCCAGGGACTAGAATTACTGTGTGGGCAGGTTGATTGTCTTCCTAAATGCTATGTTGCCTTACAGCTTGGCTTTGGATCATTCCTTGGAATCATCGGATCAAACCTTATTGACAACAAGCGGCAGATGGTGAGTTTTCACCCTTCTAGAAAGCTCAATGTTTATGTGGATAAGTAACACATCTCTTAAGCTTGTGCAAATTTGGCCACAAAAGAAACTATTGCTTCTCCTTTCCCCTAAGCCTTCAAAGAACTTGTCTCATAGTGAGCCGGTGGTATGGACTGGTTCGCATCTTACTCAGTGTTTCCTCACTGACCTACCTGATCTCTTTAACCTTTCCCCTTCATTCTCAAAAGAATGCTTCAGGCTCTTCAATCAGGATGCTGTTCTGGCCTAGAATACCTGTGTTTCTGTGCTATACAGTACTGCAGCCCTGAGTTATTAGTTACCTTCTTAGCTTTTGGGTTACACGATCTTTTGGAAAAGTTTCAAAAAGGGTCTTTACCTTTTAGGAGATTATAGTCTAGGGAACATGAATTAAGACAACAAGCATAAATTTGGCATGGTGATGCATGCCTCTAGTCCTGACACTCAGGAGGTTGAGAGAGGAAGGTCAGCAGCTCAGTTCAAGGTCACCTTGAATTGGCCAGCATGAGCTACTTGAGACCTTGTCTTAAAACCAAAAACCAAAACAAAAACTAAAAAGAGAAAGTAAATGCACTTGAGTGATGGATATTAAAATTGAAACAGGCAAGCTCTAAAAAGCTACAGTATCTTTGTGTCTTTGCCATCCATAGTTCAAAGCCAAGGGTGTTGTAAAGTTGAGAGGAAGGATCAACACTTAACAGAAGTTGAGGTTCACCATCCTAATGGGATCCCTCAAAGGCAAGCTGATGTATTTTCCTGGTTGAATTTTGAGAAGGTTTCCTTGAGGGCAAGGGTTAGAATGGCTAGGCTGAATTGCAAGCACACCACAGTTTTATGGAATTATAAATCAGGAACCCTGGTGAGTGATCAGACTCCCCGTGGACAAGTCTTTGTGGCATCCAAACTTTGGCAATGGGGTCTGTTTAACATCAAGCTTAATCAAATGATGTAATAGCTCAAGAGATAGAACTCTAACCATACATTTCCCCCAGCAATATGGGAATCACTGCCAGGGGACTTCTAATAGTTTCTTCTTCCATTTTACCTGGACTTCAACCCTTGCCAGTTGTGTTTGCACTTTGGGCTTAAATTATTCAAAATAATGGGGGGAGTTTTAATTGTAGAGCTGATCATAGTATAGCTAATAATGCCAATTTCATGACATCGTTCATCCATTATTTACCAATTATCTGCAGTGCTGTGAAGTGAGATTTATGGAGAGAGGTTTCTGAACAACTCCCAAAGGAGATAAGTATTTCCTCTCAGCCTGCTGAAGTGGGTGAACCCTAGGGTACCCTTGGTTTTGATTTTTTCATTCTCCCTGGGGAATAGCTTGATGCCGTGTTATTTCCTCCTCTTTCTCCCCAAAAACCTCAAGAAAGAAAAATGCTGATTCCATGTAGTTCACAGGGTCAACCATGGCAGATTGTGGGCTCATGTATCATGTCTCCTTGTCCTTGGAGACATTCTGAAATTGTGATGTCCCCACAGTTGGGTTGAAGAAAATACACTTTAGGAAAATTTATGTTATCTAATGTGATTAATGAATTTGACAATCTGGTTTTCTTATTTAAGAATTTCTAGCTAGGCATGATTGTGCATGCATGTGTTCCTAGCCTTTGGGTAGCTGGATCAAAAGTTTAAGACCAGACTTATCCAATATAAAATGAATTGAGGCCAGCCTGGGCTATATGAGGCCATGTCTCATAAAAGAAAAAGAAAATTTTTATATATACCCCATAGAATTTATCCATTTCAGAGACTTCAATCCTCACAAAATCTCTCTGACACTTAAGTGTTAGTAAATTGAATGTCCCCTTTCTTCAGTGATGTAGAAGGTGATGTAGAGTTATGCAGGACCCAAGAATCATTCTTGTTATCATCAGTGTCCACTGTGTCATCAAGCAGCAGAGTAAGAGAGTACAAAAACCAAAGGACGAGGAGTTGGTGGGCACCAGTTCTTTCATATACTAAGTAGAGACACTGGACACACTGTTTCCCCTCACTGTGCCTCCATTTCCACAGAAATAAATCATAGGGTTGGATTACATGATGTCCAAGGTCCACCATTTTTCTGAATCTGAGGATGGAAAGGCTATGCAGTCTAATTCCTTCGTGGACAGCATTCTGGATTCCAGCAAGCTTCTTCATTTGGTGCTCACAGAATGAGTTTATGAGCTTACCCTGAAAATATATTACAGAGTTGCTTCAGATGCCCCTCTCTCCCTCTGTGCCCACCCCCATGCCCACTCATCCTGCATGACAAAAGAAATCCCCATCAGGGACAAGACTAGAGTTCTGCTTTGGCTGGCAGTCTCTGGGGGATTACTTGGTCTCCAAAAGCAGCAACAGCGAGAAAGGCTAACAGACGTGTTTATTTTCTTCCCTCCTGCAGCTGGTGGCTTCTATCGTGTTTATCAGCTTTGGCGTGATTGCAGCTTTTTGTTGTGCCATAGTTGATGGGGTCTTTGCTGCCAGACACATTGTGAGTATTATTAGCCTTGAGTTGAAGTAATTGTGCAAGACTACAAACCCCCAGTGAATGTGAATGAGTGCTTTGAGGGACACACATATACAAGGGAGAGGAACACTCTTCCTCCTTCAGTAGCTGGTAGCCAAGGTGAGAGCATCAATGAACAATGCAATCATCCAGAAAACCGGGTGTAAACTAATAGAACACACCCCAGGTGCCATAGTGGAGTTCCTAGTGTCTTGGATTCCAGAGCAAAAGGAAAGCTTCCCAGGGGCAATAGGGATGAGCCTAACCTTTTGGCTTGTGAAATTTGGAAAGGCAAAGACAAGGGCATGGGGTTCAGGGATGGCTTGGAACTAGTCTCAAAGGTAGGGATAGAGAAGCTGGAAGCCGTATGACTTCCTGGGAGCACTAAAAGTGTTTAAAGCAACCTCCCCTTCAACAGCTACAAGAACAGACCACAAGTTCAAAGTTACTTTTCTCAGATACCCAAATATTGCTGTTCCTGTAACAGTGGTTGGAAAGTAATGACGTACTTGGATGTCTGGAGAAAGATTAATGCTAAAACCTCTACCCCCAGTTCAGTCCTTCACTCCAGGTGTCAAATACTTCCCATTCTGGGTTCAGTGAGGGCCATTTTCACTCCCAAACCCTAAATTTGTACTGTTTACTTGGAGAACTCTGGACTAACAGTGTGCCCATTGAGCACTCTATAAAGGATCTTGCCCCCTCTTTTAAACCTAGTTCTTTGACAATCCCTGGCATGTATATAAATGCATATGGATTACTGTCTCTATGCCTCCTCTTTTTATCCCCCTCCCACTCCTATTAACAGTCCCTCCTCCCTTCCTGTCTTTTTCCAAGATTTATGATTTTTGATTTTGTTTGTGACTTTGTTTAATTTGTCCAGAGACATCTACGCGACCATTTTATTGTGACTATGTATTGCAACCTGGTGGAATCATCGATGGGTACATAACCGAAGGCAATGGTACCCTGTTTACCGAATTTAACAGTAGGAAATAGTTCAGCAATATGTTAAGGCTTCCTGGGCCCCTGTTATAGTTACATCTGGCTGTCAAAAGGTGCACTCTTGTACATACCCAGAAAAGTCATCGGTAATTGTTGGAAAATGTGTGTTTCCCCCTGAAGATGGCATTTGGCAGCTCCTCTCCATAGCTTCTAGCTCCTACGTTCTTTCTGCTCCATCTTCTACAATATTTCCTGAGCCATGGAGGGAATGGCATAAATGTCATATTTAGGGCTGGGCACTCAACTGTCACTGATTCTCAACACCTTTTGCAACTGTAAGTCTCTGCATTTATCACCGTTCACTAGAAAGAAAGGCTTCTGTGATTAAGGCTGAGAGTGATAATTGTCTATTTGTATCAACATATATATTTAGAAGCTGGTTCAATGCTATGTCTTTCAGCTAAGCAATGGAATTAAGGTCTCCCCTAGGGCCCGTGACTTCCCACACCATGTGCTTTTAAGCAGATTTACAGTACCAGGTATAGATTCCCTCTGACGGGGTGGGCTTCAGATCCAATTAGAGAGTACTTCATTATCACCCACAGCAGTTCTCACAAGTGGGCACAACTGGCCTGGCAGGTTGGTATTAGAGTTCATAGTGTTCAAAGCTGGGTACGACTATTAATACCCCCTCCCCACTGCTAGCAGCTTACATAGTGCCTTCTGGCCCTTGCCCTTCTTTTACTGTGTTCTGTTTCACACCATTCCAGATTTCTGGCCCAGGAACAACTTTTCCATTAATCATAGTAAGCATAGTTAGTGCCTAGAACACATGGTAATTTTAGGGTCACAAAATGCTATTATTTCTTCTTCAATAAGAAGAAAAATGGTGAACTTTTAGGTTGAGACAAAAAGCCTGGCACATGACATAAATATATTTGGTTTTCTATCAATGCAGCGATAAAACATGCTTTAAAAATATTTTTCAGTGTCAGAAGGGGACTAGGAAAACAAAACAAAAGAGCCCTGGACACAAGAAATCCATAAGTGGCCCTGATGTGATCCAAAGGCCAAAATCAAGAGCAAGACATAGTAGCTTCCCAAGCGTCTGGAGCAAACTCAGTTGTTCGACTGAATTAAACTGGAAAATGAAAATGTTTCACGAACTATTGGAAATTATATTTTCTAAAATAGTTGAATTTGAGCAAAATTAGCGTATCAGAATTTTCTGTGGATCAAATTGCACGTTGCTGCACTTTAGTCATTGGCTAATTGTTAAGGTCATTTGAAGAAGTGTCAAGGGTGTGACTAGTTCTGGGTTAGAATGATCTGAGACAGCATCATTTCAATTGGACCTCCTTCTTGGACTCCTCTTTCAGACACAAGAGACAGCCCCTTATTTGCCAAGATCAAAGGAGCTCATTATTGTTAATGCTGACACCTAACCAGCCTCTGAAATAGTAGCTTAGGAAATAATTTGGTTAGGGAGAAAAATAAGGTATAGGAAAGAGATGCCCTTTCTCTTATTTGTTTTGAGGGCCAGGAATATAAATCTTGTCCACTTTACCAGATTTAAACATTCTGGTTTCAGCTGAGAAGAGCCATCTCTTTTTTTCAACCATGCTTTGCTTCCGAAACAATATATCAGTAATTATTAATGGTTAAAATTCTGTCCCCTAACAAAGCAATTTTGGTGGTCTTTGCATATTTCTCTTTGAATATATACATGATTTGGTAGCATTGGTTGTAGTCAATCATAGTGTGCATGCTATTTTGTATTCAATAGGAGCCATCTTAATAACAGTAATTCCTTGTTTTTGTGTAGTACATTAGGTTTTGAATGTGTCTTCACATCTATTATCTCATTTGAGACCTACAGCAATCCTGTGAGATCAAAAGGGCAGGCATTATTATCCCCATTTGACAAGCAGTACTCACTCTGAAACAGTCACCATGGCAACATAGATAGGCCTAGCAGCTCAGAAGCCTATAGTAGATTTTGATGGCATCATCGAGGTAAAATGGCTTCCTTTTTTTCCTTTCTTTCACTTGTAATGTTTTTTTAATGGATTTACTAAAATATAGTTTACATGTTGCAAAGCGCACCTATTTGAAGATTATAGTCAAGTAGTTTTTAGTATATTCACAGTTTCATGGAGACATCAGACAGATTTAGATTTTCTTCATATCAAAAAGAAACCCTATATCCTTTGTCCTTTATATCCTATCTCTCCATTCTCCCCAATCCTGAAGCATCAACTTTAATAGCTATTCCTATTCTAGACACTTCATACTAAAGGAATTTCCTAATATGTGGACTTTATGGTTGGCTTTCTTTTATTTAGTATAATGTTTTCCAGGTTCATCCAGGCTGTTTCATGGGTCGGTGCTTCATTCTGTTTTATGGTGCAATAATGGTGCATTGTATGGATATACCACGTTTTGTTTATCCATTCACCAGCTAATGGACATTTGGGTTGTTTCTACCATTTCACTATTATATACAATGATGTGGTCAACATTTGGGCTTATTTGTATTTTCATATCCATTCCATTTGTGAATGGAACTGCTAGGACATACGATAATTGTGTTTAATTGTTTGAGGTCTACCAGAGTGTTTTCCAAAGTGGCTGCAGTGTGTTATACTCGATGTCTCCCCAGCCTCACAATTTTCATTATTATCTGATTATTCTAGTGAGTGAGAGGCAGTACCTCATTGTGATTTTGATTTTATATTTCCCTTATTGGCCTAACATTTTGGATCATTGGTTCAATGAAGCAATGGTGAAAAAAATTCCAATACCTGTTGATGTAATAATACCCTGGCAATACCCATAATTTTGCTCCAAGCTGAGGAACAGTCCCCCACAGCAGGGAAGGCATGGCGGCAGGGTCTGGAAACACTGGTTCCATTGCATCTGCAGCCTGGAAGCAGGAAGGATGCATGCCGGCTCTCAGCTCACTTTCTACTTTTTCAGTGCACGACACCAGCTCAGGGAATGTTGCCACTGTCCTTCAGGGTGGGTCTTTCTGCTTCACTTAAGCCAACCAAGATCATCACTGCCAGTCATGACCATATGCCAACCTAACCTAAATGAGTTCTTCCGTATGCCTGGAGGCTTGTCTCCAAAGTGATTTTGGGTCCTGTCAAGTTGATAATCATTATTAACTATCACAACCTACTCATCTCCAAGTCTTAAGGCCACTTGTATATTCTGTGGTTCGTTAGTTGTACTGTATCATTGTATTCAACAGATTTTGATGACACCAAGATGCTGTTAAATCACAGATCCTCTACCTGTCCTTCTTTCTGTCCCTGAAGTCAGGCCATGCTCCCCTGATTCTATCTCTGGACAGAGAATTGATATGAGTTGACTCCTCTCTCCCTGTCAGCTGTCACCAAGTCCAGCTCTCCTTGATTCCCAGACCTAAGCCAACCCGATTGTAACTTCACTTTTATGACTTCTACTATATTTCATGTGATATGGAATTTACCCTCCAACCACCAGAAAACCTTTAAGAGTTAGAAACCACCCTACAGAATCAAATGATCTGCGTCCCCACAGGACCACATCATGGCTGCCTAAGGCCATGATACCACCCTTACACCCTTACCAGTGAACATTTGTTTTGAAGGGTAGTCACAGCTTCCTTTCTACAAAGCAGCTTTCTTCTTTTAGTTATAATATATGTCATAATGTAAGGCTGGATACATCTTCAAGAAAATATTTCTTCTAACACTGAACCAGCTCAAGGATGTTTGGCAGTTGTCCTTGGCACCTAAATCATTTTGGGGGAAGAGGAGTATTCCATAGCCACGTGTATTGGACTACTTAATGAAAGTCACATTTAGATCCTAGCCAACTTGGGTGAGTTAAAAGCCAGCCTGCTCTGTTGGTGAGGCCCTTTCATATCATCTTGCCATATTTCTTTGACTTGAGTGAATCTAAACTGTTCCAATACCTAATAATTTCCAACGCATCCCTCTACAGTGAGCTGTTCTTTCTCATTCTTGTTTTGTATTCCTTTTCTTTGTCCATCTCCCCGCCTATGGCAATTCATTATCTGGGAAAGTCACTTCGCTCTCGAGTCACAATTTTTTCTCTTCCTAGTGTATATAATAGAATTTTACCTTTTAGGGTTAGAAATTAAGTAGTAGGCATGCTCATGCCATCTCATATATAGCAGTATCCGTTTCCATCCCTTCTTGCCGAGGTTGGCAGTCCTTCAGGCTAAAGAGGTTGCAAGCTCAGGCTCAGTGACCTCTTCTCACCCCTGAATTGTCTGTTCTTGCCCTTCTTCTGCGGATTAAGTGCAGAATAACAGCAAGACATAGCTAGTGGGCAATCATCTTGCATGCCTGTCTTCATTTAAGGGTGGTGGTTGAATGGCTTCTGTAAAACCAGGTCACAGGGCTATGGTCACCAGCATGGCCAAACCTTTTCTTGAACACAATAATAATGAGTCTGCTGTTACTCCAGCATCGAAAATAAATTCTGCCAGTTGTGAGCATCAAGAGTCCAAATTCCTCTCTAGTCTGACTCCAGACTGAATTAATAGCAGCACATTTTTATAACACCGAACAGCAAAGAGAATTATGAAGCATGAGCTAATGGAAAGCCCAAGGTCATTGGTGGGGTCACAGAATAGAAGGCAAGAGGCATTCAATGCCAAGTATAGGAGATTCTAAATCATAGGTATAGAGAAAATAACCACCAAGATTGGAACTAGAAAGAGAAGTAAGGGCAGAAAGGGAAAGGCAAAAGATAATCCATTCTGCCTGGGCACTTTGAACTAAACCCTTAAAGGCCATTTTGCATAAACTGTTGTCTTACTAATGTGACTTTGTCCAAAGACCCCTGCTACATAGGGCTGCTTAGTATCAGTTCTGGAAATGACAGCATCTTCTGGTTACAACTTCCCAGGCATCTCTGGCTTCCAACCCTCATGCCTGAGAGTTTCATCAGAAAGCTGGCCAAGTTAGCGGAGTAAATCAACTGTCCTTGATCTCCACATATTAATTTTTTGTCTTTGTCTTAGTGGTACAGTTAAGTTCTCCAGCTTTTAAGCTGTGTGGGTGGGTGAAAATGGCTTGTCGTTCAGCTGAGTTAAAATCTCCAGTGGACTAGGTAGCTGCCCATCCTTCAGCTTCTGGCTTCTTCACCTCTTCCCTTTGAAAAGGCCATGGAAATAACAGCAGGGAGTGCAAGTCAATCAGCGCTGGCCTAGTCCCCAGGTCATAATGAGACCTCATAGCTAAAACTTCTCTTTCTCTCACTATTTAGAAGTGTAATATTGCAATAACCTGGAATTTTTAATCTTGCTCCCTAGAGACTGTTTGCAAGAAAACAAAGCCTAGAAGTTAAAAGAAAACCAGAGAGGAAATTTCAAGAAACTCATTTTTCAATCAGTCTTCCCGGTTTCTCATTAAGCAAAGCAGTCTAACAGAAAGCAGTTATTAGAATGATTTTGTCTGATCCATACATTCTCAGGCCCCCTCATAGACACCTTTAAGATTTTTACCCAACCTACTGCCCCCATCTCTGTGTGTTTTCAAATCTTTTATTAGCAAGCAGGGCTCTTGATATTTTATTTTCCAAAGCCAAAACCCTTTTGGTTTGGTGTTTCCCTTTATAGGATTTGAAACCACTCTATGCTAACCGGTGCCACTATGTTCCCAAGACATCCCAGAGGGAAGCTGAGGAGGTGAGCCACAATGATGCTGCATGTCTTTACCTCATGGGAAAGTCCCCTGTTTTATCTGAAACAACCTTTCTTAAAAAAAATAGATTCATTTATTTTACTATTTTATGTATATGAGTATTTTGCTTGCATGTATGTATGTACACCACATGTGTACTGAAGGTACACATAGTTATGAGACACCATGTGGATGCTGGGAATCGAACCCTGTCCTCTGCAATAACAGCAAGTGCTCTTAACTGCTGAGACAACTCTCCAGACATGAACCACTTTTTCTATATTATTTCTTTCCAAAGACCTAAGGCATACTGCTAGATGTTTTGAGGTATTTGTTCAGTGGGTCAAAACACAGTGTAACTGAGGACATGTCATGGATTGGAGCCTCATGAGGCCTAATCAGATTAATTTTGTTCCATGGCCACAGGCTGCATCTCTGACCCCAGCCAATAGTCTTTCAGTGTGTGTCCCTCCCCCATCTCTGCCGATAATGAGTCAATTGCCTGGACTTGGTGCTCAGCTCGAAGAAGATATAAAGCCTACCAGGACACTAGGCCTGTGTTAAGAAGGCAGAGCATGAACCCCACCCGTGAGCAGGATCTGGAGGCCAAATCAGGATAACCGAGCAATCATTCTATCTTAAGGTTCTAAGGAGGCCCAGATTGTTAGTGTGGCCTTCTCATGACACCACTAAGAGGCCAGCCTAAGAGTAGGCTCAGGAGAATATTTTTTCCTGCCCCATATTTCCTTGTGTTCCCTGTTGCTTTAGCTAGAGGCACTGACAGTGGAAACATTGGGTGGGGGGAGCACTTTGATTTTAGCACATCATAGTCCCAACCAATGGATTCCAACATATGAAATTCTACCTGTTTCTGGGAAGTCTGACAAGTTGGTACTCTGTTAACCTCAAAATGAAACTCATTCACTGTGAGGATACGCCCAAGAGTACATTAGCTGCACAAATTGGACTCTATGGGGTGTGTGTGTGGGGGGGGAATAAAGGACATGAAGCTGGGTTGGTAGGAAAGCAGGGAGGAATCTAAGAAGAGTTAGGAAAAAGGGGTAAATAGGATCAAAATGAATTGTATGAAATTCTCAAAGAACTAATACAAATTACAAAAGTAACATTAAGAGATAGCACACGTGTGATTGGAAAAAAAAAGAAGACAAATAGAAGCAAAATGGCCACTATGTCACACAACCTCATGAGGAGCTACTCTACATAAAACACGTCATGAATGGTGTTCTTGGAGTTATCTTGCTCCCGAGGATGTTAAATGCTTCTGTTATGGTAGCAACACAAAGTTACCATTTTTCTAATTGTTCCTGGGTTAGAAGGAGGAATAAAATGTGTGCCGCTAACAGCATAGCAAAAAGGCAAAGGGCACTTGGATGAAGGGCCCAATATGAAGAAAACTGCCTATTTCCTATGAATATTTCTGCAACAAAGCCAAAGAAATGTGAAAGGACTTTACCACACCCTTAGGGTGATGGGAACTTGAAAAAACTTCTTGTGTAAAAGCAAGAGAAGATAGATGCAGACTCTTCCCTATATTTTTAGTTTTGCAAGATGTTTTTATAAACTCAGAATATGTAAGACTGTAAATTCTCTTGATTTCATTGTGATAGTTTTCTTGTCTTAACTTGCCGGTGGCACAGATATTCGTAACAGTTTCCATAAGTTTGCTTGTAATCCTGTTTCTCTTAACTCGTTTTTTTCTGTATAAGGTCATAACTTCCTCAAACAAACTTACTCCTTCTACGAGGTCTTTGAAGAACATTACCCAGGCAATTAAAGAGGTACTGTTGTACTTCAGTGTGCATGTGATGGCCCCTCTGTCTACCTTTCTAGCAGGTCTTCTTTCATCCCGTGCTCCGATTTTCTCACCCTTCATATCCTTATACCCTAACATCCACTTACTATCCCACCCACTGTTCCATCTGCCTTTCCTCTTCTCTCCCCCTGCCCTGTGTAAGTGAGGCACTAAGGACTGTGCCTGGGGCTAACCACAATCCCAGCTCTATAGGTGCTTGCTTTATGCACAGGCATAGCTAGCTACCTCTCTGCTTCGGCTCCTCTTTCTTTTGCACTGGTATGCTCATGTCCCAGCCATCGTTTCTGTCTCCGTCCGTCACTAACTCACACTGCAATCCCAGAGGACTAGTCCCCCCAGCCAGTACTAGCTTCTCCCACGGGTGTTTTGTGTCTTCAGGTGAACTGCCCTCAACTTAGCCGTGGACTCTGCACACCTCGCATCCGGGGAAACACTTGCTTCTGCTGTGACCTCTACAACTGTGGCAGGTGAGTGTGGCTTCCATGGGCACAGCAGTAACTGTTTGGTCATGTTGGGTGCTAGAAGAGCCAAGGCTGGTGAAGGCTATATGGTAGGGATTCTAGAAGTCAGGGCTGTTGGTCTGTCCCACATTCCACCTGACCGGCCTTCTTTGCACAAGGCTGGCTACTTTCCCAAACTTTATCTCATTTCATTTTCTTTACGGTTCACTTTTGCATATAGAGTCTGTAGAGTCATCATCAAGTTAAAGTGTAAGAAAGTAAAGCTCAGAGGAAAGACACAATTGACTAAAGGTCATAAAGAATTTGAAAACAGGAGTAGGGATCAAACCCAGCACTAGATTTACATTCAACAGCATGTAACAAGTATCTATTGAGTACATTCTCAGTGCCTGGACCTGCTATACACACTAAGGATTATGCAGTGATTAAAGCAATAGTCTCTGTTCCGTGGAGGTTATATTCTAATTCTAGCAGGGGAGAGAATAAAAACACACATAATATCTAATATAATGTTGGGTCTGATTAGAGTTCTAAAGAAAAATGGATCAATAGAGGTAGGCAGCAATGAGGGAGAAATTGTGTGCACAAAGTAGGTATGGGTGTCTCTTTGTGAAGGTGACATTTGTGAAGGGACTTGAGTAAATCTGGAGAGCAAAAAAAAGAAGATACCCAAGGAGAGGGCTTTTAAGCAGAGGGGACAGCAAACAGTTAAGGCTCCGAAGCAGGGTTGATACCAGTAATGCTACAACCATTCACACTCTCTGCCTTCCAATTATGATTATACCAGTTACTCTCTTTCCAAACATTAGAAGATAAGACAAATAAATGAACAACCGATATGCAAACATAATTTCAGAGTGTAGCGAGCATCAGTGGACCCTCGTGGCCTAGGCAAATGGGAGACAAATGATAAGGAGGAATTTATGCTACAAACTAAAAGCAGGGGCAGGTGGGGGAAGATATGCTTGCAAGTTGTCAGGAGGAAGGAAGTGCGGGGAGGTATAGAAAACTGTAGAGGTGGCCGTGACCACGTGGGCCATTGGAAGTATAGAGCATGGAAAATGAACTTGAACTTCAGACAGCTGGGATGCTGGAGAGAATGAGACCTAGACCAAGTTGGTTTAGTGGCAATGAAAAGCAGGGAGGTTTCTTTTTGTTTTGTTTTTGTTTTCAAGACAGGGTTTCTCTGTGTGTATTCCTGGCTGTCCTGGAACTTGATTTGTAGACCAAGGCTGACCTCAAACTCACAGAGATACATCTGCCCCTGCCTCCAGAGTTCTGGGATTGAAGGTGTGTGCTATCACCACCTGGAAACTGGGGGTGTCTTTTAAAGAACACCTTAGAATGTGGAATTGGCAGACGCATGTGATTGTGTGAAACAGATTATGAGAGAACAGCTCTTCATATAGGGTGTTATTAGATAGTCATTGTCTATGCATGACTGTTTTCAGACTTAGTGTAGGAGAGCTGACGGTCAAAGGAAGGAAGGAGGAAGTAGTAGAGGAAGGCTAGATGGATCTAGATGGAGAGGCCTCAAAAGGAAGCAGTGTACTCCTACATATTCCCTTCCTGTTGATAGTCAGAGGCCAGTTTCTCTGGTCTGAGGATTGAAAACTGACAGGCTGGAAGTGGAGAGAAGCAGTGAGCTCGCCCTAGTCCCTTCTGATGTTTGCTAATATCAGCCTCATTTCCTTGAAATATCTGGCAGTAGAGAAAGAGAAATTCAAAGGCACAATTGTGGTGTAAGGACTATCTGGGGTGGAAGGCCTTTAATTCCAGCACATGGGGCAGAGGCAGGAAGATCTCAGTGAGTTCGAGGCCAGCCTGGTCTACAAAGAGACTTCAGGTTCAGGGACAGCCAGAGCTACACAGAGAAACCCTGTGCTAAAATCAATCAATCAAACAAACAAAAACCAAACCAAACAACAACAACAAAAAAAACCACTCCAAAACATGACAAAATCTTTTTCATCAGGAAAAGAAAATATTAGTCAAGGCAACTGACACAGATCATGCCATCCCTAAAGATCTTCAAGTTCAGGAGTAGCTTTAATCTATCCTGTATCTAGAAAGCAGAACCAAGTATTTCTCAGTGCCCTTTCCTAAGTCTGTGTGGTCAGGATCCCAAGGGCAAAACCAGTGGAACAGGACTTGCTCACATTTCTCTCAGCTCAGAAAGCAGCTATAAGACTAAATAGGGGACAAACTCGACATGAAGGGAAAGCTTTTTCCTTGACCCAGGTTATTTTTTCAGCCAGAGCCAAAGAGAGTTAAATTCAAGGCCTAAATATAGCTAGAAACAAGCATTCTGAGGCTTGGAGACTTTAATTTTGCCGAATGCGTATTTGTTTTCCTCACACGAAGCCTATTTTTAATCAATTGCCAGCTCCTTTAGTCCATTTCCTGGAAAGGAGGCCAAGAAAAAAAAAGTGGGAACAAAAACATCAGGCAGTCATTTGTACAGTGCTACAGAAACAGAGTGTCTACTGTCCCCTCGAACCCGCCGACCTTCACTGACGTCATGGGTGGTGAGGTTTAATACCAAACATAGATTATTCCATTTAGCCCTGTGCAGGAAGGTGGCTTTCTCTAGGACACAGCTTCTCTGTGGCTGCCTTTCAGAGCATCTTTTCCTTCCATCTATTCACTTATCTTTGGAGAGGTCAAGTCAATATCACTGGTTTTCTGTGTGTAACCTAAAGGAAATGGAGTGGTTTGCACACGGCCTGAGCTGGGAGCAGTTATAGAGGGCAGCTGACTTCCATTCCTCTTTTCCCCTAAGAAACCTCTATGATATTCCTATCATGTGTCAGTGGCTGTTGTGCTCATTAGAAAGTCAGTTCACCAGAAAGGGAATTTAAAAATATGGTGAATGAGAGAGAGAGGGGGGGAGGAAAGGAGACAGACAGACAGACAGACAGACAGAGCTAGAGAAGGGGAGGGGATAGAGAGAGGAGAGGAGAAGATGAATTACCACTCCAAGCTGACTTTCTCTATTGAAGGACAGAAAGATGCCTTCTTGCTTTTCCCAAGATCAGCTGCCACTTCCTGTGTTAAGTAGTGATTTGAACATCGGGCATCTATTCCTTTAGGCCCACCCAGTGAGTGGTGTGCAAGCGAAAGCAAGCCCGCATGCGATGAGCACGCTCATGATCAATGCAGTGGTCAGAGTTTGCACTCAGTTACTCAATCACTGTGTATTTATCTACAGTCTTTAGT